CTTTCTACATTATGTACTATGTCCATCCTTTTGATTTGACTGACTCTGTTTTGTTATGTCACATTTGTTTTCATTTTCTTCAAAAAAAAGTAATAAGAACTGTGGGAGTAACAAAACCCAAAATGTGTAATTGTTATTGTAAAAAAGAGAAGAAAAGAAAGTGCTCTAAAGGATATAACTGCACATATATTTAAGGGTATAAGATAGATAACCATATTCCTGAGTTTTTGTTGGATCATTGAACAGAACTGTTTGCAGTCTCACTGTTTGTCTTTTTTTTTTCTTTGTCTTTTTCCTTTTTATCAGTACCGAGGATCGAACTCACGACTGCCTGCTTGTGAGGCAGGCGCTTATGCCTCTGAGCTAAATCCCCAGCCCCAAGTCTTACTGTTTGAATGTCCACTTTATGTGCTTTAATTTTGTAACTTGAACAACTATTTCTAAGATGACAATATGTAATCTATTAACTAGTGATTTCCTACTGTTTATTTTTTTGAAATTCTGTATAACTTGTACCCTTTTTCTGTTTTTTTTTCTACTTAAATAAAATTAAAATAATGATCCTAAAGATGGCTGACGACTGTAGTTTGACTTGCATCTTGCTAATGATTAGTGATACTGACATTCTTTTCATGCACCTATTGGCCAGCTAGATAAGTTCTTTGGGGAAAAAGTTTGGGGGAAAAAGTTCTTTGCCCATTTTTATTTTATTCATTTTTTCTTGGTACCAGGAATCAAATTCAGGACCTTGCACTTGTCAGGCACGTGCTTATGCCACTGAGCTATATCTCCAGCCTCTTTGCCCATTTTTGAATAGTTGTTTTTTTATTGTTGCTAAGTTGAAGTTTTTTGTTTTTTGTTTTTTGTGGGTTTTTTGGTACCAGGGATCGAACTCACAACCTTTCACTTGCAAGGCAGGCGCTTATGCGGCTGAGCTAAATCCCTGGCCCATGTTGAAGTTTTTAAATATATGTTTGTCAGTCACTTAACAGATGCATGATCTGCAAATATTTTCTCCCATTCCATGACTTTCCTTTTACTCTGATGTTGTTCTTTGGTATACAAAAGTTCTCAACTTTAGTGAAGTTGAAAAGTTCAACTGATCTTTTTTTTCCATTGTCTGTGCTTTTGGCGTCATCTGGTCACTTTAACTGTATTTTGTCTATTCCAACATGAGATCCCTCTATATACAGAATTAAAAAACGTTCCTGGTCAGCTGAGCTATTTATTAAAATAGGTCCCTACTAGTGGTAGTTTGGCGTGCTTTTCTCAAGCATCACAAGTTAGAGGAAGCCCTGCAGTTCGAGGCCAGTTTGTGCTTACTTTGCAGGTGTTGATTGACTGGTTGAACAAGATGGAATCATAGCCAGCTGAGGACCAGCCCATGCCTGGGAACCTTGACTGAGACAGGAAACTCACAGATACCCATAAGGCAAGGGCTGGAGGGAAGACTGGTTCCATAGTTAGGTGTGTCTTCTGCTCTGTGTTCCCCACCTAGAGAGAGCCTGGCAGCTTGTATGCTGCTTGACTGAGAGGTGGCTCCCTGCTCTGGGTGCCCTATGTACTTTTGCTGGGATTCTGCATCAGTCACAAAGAATTTGCCAAAATTGATTTGGTTCAGATTTAGTTTTTTGCTGGTTTGTCTTTTGTCTTTTTGAGACAGGATCTCACTGCACAGTTCACTGGCCTCGAGCTCACTTTGTAGCCCAGGCTGATCCCGAACTCACAATGATCTTCCCGCCTCAGTTTCCTAAGTGCTGGAAATACAGGTGTGCGTCACCACACCTGGCTCAGTTCGGTTCAGATCTGGCAATGTGTAAACTTTACTCTGCAAGATTCCCTCTGCCTTAACCCCCCTTATCCAGTCCGTTTATTCATTTATTCATGGGTATTCCTGGCTGAGATTACCCAATGATACTCAGATTCAGGTGAGAATCTTCAGATACTGTTTTCCTCTGCAGGCAAAATAAATATGAAAATTTCTTCATCATGTTTGAACCAGACCAAAATTTAGTGTAGTCTGTGCTTGTTCTGTGGAGATACAAAATGTCCTGTTTTAGTAATATGGATTTTGATTAAGTGACATTTATTATTACCTCTGCTAATGTTCCTTTTCTAGACTCTAGTTTACCTGCCAGCAAGCCACCCAGCCTTCTTTCTCTTTTATTTACACAATAAATCCTTTTTCCACCTACTTATTTCCAACATATCTGCATGTCTTTATATTTATAGAGTATCTCTTGGAGACATCATATCACTTTTTTTATTTAATACATTTGACATCTCTGACTTAACTGAAGCATTAGTTCATTAACAGGGTGACTGATCTATTCCGTGGAGACTGTTCTGAAGACAGAATGGTATTAGTATGATTTGGGGGTGCTGGAGATTGAACCTAGGGCCTTGGTATGTCATTATGTTTATTTGCTTCTTTACAGCTGTGAGCGCAGCCTGGGTACTTGGTGAACTGGATTTTCCCAGCGTGCTGTATGCACCCAGCTGAGAAGACAAGCAAGGGGCCCTCAGCCGTCATCTGAGGAGGAAAGGCGGCCGCAGGGTCTGATACAGGAGCTCAGCACTGGATCCTCTGATGGGATTAAAGAGGCTCCAATCCCAGAATGTCGGTGACAACACTGGATCACCTTTCTTCCAACCTGATGGAAAACTGTTCTCTTTGCTTTTTTGAATTGCTATTTCTTTGTATATTTCTAAAGTAGATCTTGGCAGGCATGAGTGTAACCTTGTGGTTTTACTAACAAAAACTTGAGGGTTTATACTGGGACTGGTGTGCAGAGAATGAGCCTCACAGTTTTAACACATCTTTGTACACTTGACCCTCACTCCCTGTGAGATAAGGATCAGGCTTTGTGTCTGTTAGGCAGGTGTTTTACCACTGAGCTACATCCTTTGTTTTTGTTTTTGTTTTGTTTTGCTTTTGTCTTTTTTGTTTTTATCGGTACCAGGGATCGAACTCACGACTGCCTGCTTGCAAGGCAGGTGCTTATGCCACTGAGCTAAATCCCCAGCCCCAACTGAGCTACATCCAAGTTCACGATGATCACAGCTGTTACAGTAAGGACTGCTCAGGAGTCAGGTCTTGTTCTGCCTCACTCTGCAAGGGCCTGGCTCAGAGCAGAGTATCCTAGTGGCTGTCCAATGAATAACAGGCCAGGCTGCCACTTACAGAGTTACAGGAACATGCTGCCCTCGGGAGAGCACATAGCCACCTACAACACATCCTAAGTGGAAGCCTGATTTCTGTCTTTGCTTTAACACAGGGCTGCTTGCAGTCTGTCTGGCAGCCCAGCGCACAAAATGCAGCCCGAGAACGACAGCCCTTGACTCTGTTCCCTCACCGCGTCCTGTGGAGTCAGCCTCCTAAACAGCTTTCTCCTCCGCCCTCCAACCCTCTGGGACCAGAAGCGACTGTCACCCTCCCGGTGGTTCATTCCTGTACCGCCTGCCAAGTGCAGACTGCAGACCCAGACCCGCCCTCCGCATCCTGGCTCTCATCTTGCCTTGGTCACTTTCCTCTGCTGCTCTGCGTTTTCCTTATAGGTTAAAACCTGTGTCTTTGTGGGGCTTGCAAGCCACGTGGAAATTTACCTGTTGGGTAAAAGACAAATCAGGGATGTGTTTAAAGCACCAGCAGACGATTACGTTAAGAAAGTGAATATTTAAAACTTTGAAGCTATTCCTACATTAAAAGATGATTTTAGGATGGGCAACACACCCTAATGTGTATCGCCTTAATCTCAAATCTACGTGGGAGATGCCACAATTGCCCAGGGGCCTCGTGTAGCCACCTGCAAGGCCCCTCTTAGGCGGCCCTTTCAGCCTGTGTCTGTCCTAGTTCTGCAAACATCTGATCTAACGGTGCCACCTGCCCCATCCCAACTCGGCTGATGCATGACCTGGGAGAAGCCCCTGAACCTCTGCGTGCCTCCTTTCGTCTGTTTAAAAGAAGGGAGTCTAGTGATGTACCCCTCCCCATCACGACCCGTGAGCATTACGGATAAGACAGGACGCAGTACATGCCCGTAAGTGCCACTGCTATGCTCCTCGGAGTCTTAGAGCCTGGACACAGCTCTTCCCTCTGCTGGAGGACTTTGCTCTCACTGAAGCCTGCTGACCCAGGACAGTTCCATGGAGCCTCGGGACTCAGGCCCGATGCGGCTTCCTCCGGCTCAGGGCTTTAACCACTCACCAATCAGGGCAGGGTAGAGCCGCTGGAGGGGTGGGGGCGGGGTGCAGGTGCGCGGAAAGGGCTCAGTCCAGGCGTTTTCGGGAGGCCCCGTCTCTTACCAACCGCTGACAACACAGAGGACGAACCGAAGTGACCCCTGGGTGCTCCGGGAGGGCCCCGGAGCTGCGTGCCAGTGGCGCTGCAGACAGAGGCGGGTGGATCAGGTGCACAGCAGGGACCAGCGGGGGCGGCACCCCGAGCACGCGGGAGCAGGGTGGGTGGGAGCCCCGGGCGAAACGACGGAGCCCAGACCAGACCAGGAGCCATCGCAGCGGCGCCCAGGGACAGCGGGGAAGTCTCGTGGAGAAGGCAAGGAGCAGCGGTGGCCTGGACCCCGAAACTGGTCCGCAGTTTCGTGCAGAGGAATGCGTCCCGGCCTCGGGCCACAGCAGGCACCTGCGCGCGCCTCCCCGGGGAGTAGGGTGCTTGTGGAGCCGGGTGGCGACTCCCCGCTGGCAGGACCAGCTGGGCGATGAAGGCCACGCCCCGCGGGAGCGCAAGTTCCAGCTTTCCCAGGACCGCGCGGAGGCTCGGCCTCCGAGGCCAGGCCGAAGGCGCTCGACGGCGCGGCCAGCGGCTGGGTGGGCGCCCAGGAGAGCCTGCAAGGGTTCGGGGGCTACGGACCCCCGTGCGGCGCGCTCACCACCACCCCGGGGCGGCACCTCCCGGCTCTCACCTTGAGGGGGCGTCGCAGGGTCCTGACCACGCCCCCGCGCCCCCATTGGTCCGCTCGGGTGGGCGGGGTCGAGGGAGCGGGGCCAGGCTGAGGCTCGCTGGCCGCCCCTGCCGCTGTCCGGACCTCGGCCTCGGGGGCTGGCGGTCCGCAGGGACAGGAGGATCAGCCGGTCGCCGCAGGGCCCGCCGGAGACGCTGTCCCGGAGCCACAACAGGTGCCCCGCGGGGGCGCCACGGGCATTTTGCCGCGGACGCAGGCGACCCCCGCCAGGTCCCGCCGGCCGCCAAAGCCGGCCCGCACCCGCCGTCGGGGCGGTCCCGCCCGGCCCAGGGCGCCCCGGAGCACCTGCGCCCGCCCGGCGTGCGCCCCGCCATGGCCGCGCGCCCCGGGCCGCTCTGGCTCCTGGGCCTGGCGCTGTGCGCGCTGGGCAGCAGCCCCGGCCCGCGCCCCCCGCACGGTTGTTCTCAGCGTCGACTGGGCGCGCGCGAGCGCCGCGACATGCAGCGCGAGATCCTGGCGGTGCTCGGGCTTCCCGGGCGACCGCGGCTTCGCGCGTTGCCTGCAGCCGCTAGACTGCCCGCGTCCGCGCCGCTCTTCATGCTGGACCTCTACCACGCCATGGCCGGCGACGACGACGAGGATGCCGGGCCCCCGGGGCGGCGTCTGGGCCGCGCCGACCTGGTCATGAGCTTCGTCAACATGGGTGAGTGCAGCCGCGGGGACGCTGTTAGGGCCCCGACGCTGACAGGGCACTCCCTCCTAGCGGGGAGCTGCTGAGGGCTGTCTGGGAGGTGACTGGTGCCCTCCAGCCTGTCCCTCAGGGAGGGAATGCATGAACAGGACATGTGTGGTTCCAGGGCAGCGTCAACCTCCTGGTCCGGACAAGCAGTAAAGGTGCAGGGGTCAGGATATGGGAGGTCCGAGGGATGACCAGGTCCCTGGGCAATGAGGGGCATAGGAGCAGCGGGGATGTGGTCTGCCAGATGGCCCCTTCAAGTGCCTGTAACACAGCCACGAGTGGAATCTGGTGGTGTTGGGCCACATGGGTGGCACCAAAAGACAGTCCTGGGAGACAGAAGAGTAAACAGAGGCCGGCAGTGGTGCTGTCACCGTGATCAGGGCAGTGCTGAGGAGAGGGACAAAGTTCAGTGGGAAACCCGTGCTCACATCATCAGAGTGACCAGAGCTGACCCGCGTGCCCTGAGTCCACAGCAGCCCTTCTTGTGCAGCAGGAAGCCTGTGGGTGGGGTGCACAGTCAGGAGGCAGCCTGGTAAGGTGTGGACACCCTCGGCTCAGTGGCCTGAGGACTGTGGTCTTGTCGGCTTGGGCCCCAGCTCCTTCAGCCCTCCTCTGTCTCCCAGGCCAAGCCTGGCTCCTCCTCTCTGCAAAGTCCTTTCAAACCATGGACCAGTGGTCCTGAGGTCTCAGAGATATTTTCCCACTGCTCTCTAATCTGCAGGCATTGGTACGTAAGCTAGGTCAGGTCCTCATCCACTTTCTCTCCATCTGTGGCTGGTGACAGGCAGGAGTCTGAGAGCATGGAGAGGACCATTGTCCAGGCCACTAGCCCCTTCACCCACAGTTTGCAATCCTCCCAGCACCTTGTGAGTAGCCATGGCCTTCATCTCCATCTTCTAGGGGAGATGCAGCCGAGCCAGAACAGACCTGGGGATGGCTGGAAATCCAGCACCCTGACATTTCTGACCTGTCAGGCCAGGGTGGAGAGAGCTTTCTGGAGATTTTGGGCAGAGGAACATGAGGGACAAACAGTAGCAGGTTTTGGAGGTCCTCAGCCATGTTTCCTACAATAGGATGGGAAGAGGGGACAGACATACCTCTGTCACCAACCCAGAACTGGCAGTGGCCTGAGGTGGGGGAGCGAGCAGTAGCCCCTCACCAGTGTTGACAGCCAGCCTGGCACAGGGCTCCACCCAGTGGGACCTGGGTGCTGCCTTTCTGCTGGGAGGGGTGGGTGGGGCGTTGAACAGAAGAGACCATATGTGACTGCGACCAGAACTCTGTCCTCAGGACAGGCTGACCCAGGGCTCAGGACCAAGAACAGGGTGAATGGACTTGCCCAAGAATGTCCCCAGGGGAGCCACCCATCAGAATGAGTCACTGCCCAGCCCATGGCCATTTCCCCCAGCATCCCCTGGGTCAAGGCACACACAGCCCTGGTGGGAGCTGTTGCTGGGATGGAGCAGGGCCCAGCCCTGCTGTGTGACTGTTGGAAAATTCCTAGTCCTCTCTGAGCCTCAGGCACCACCTGTGAATGGGGGCTCCCAGACAGCCGGTCTCAAGTTGGAAGTTACCTGACTGCTTGTTGGATGGGCAGGAGTCCCTTCTTTCCTTTTGGAGAGCCAACTTAAACCCAGCCACTTTGGACTCCTGTTCCTCCCAGCTGCACCCTACCTGTGACAGGAAATTCCATGTCTTATAGATGCTGAAACCCAGAAGCAGACTCTAAAAGCTAGGGGTGTTTGCACCTGTGTTTAGGAGAATGACCACATGAACTTTCCCAGACCTGATAATCATTCAGTCCAGGCAATGACACATGACCTTCTTTTGTCAGCTGCATTCCATGGGCTCAGAGAGGTCCAAAGGCCACCCCAGAGCCACACAGCACGTCCAGGGCACATCCACGGCTGTTGGTTCAGGTCCCAGCCTCTTCTCACACTGTCTGTGCGTGTTCCTTTAGGACCTGCGCCTCGGATGCAGCCTCAGATGAACAAGCAGGCCTTTGTTCAGTGGCCGCCCTGCTGTGGGTGGCTCCCGCAGAAGGCCGCCTGGCTTCTACCTTCTCTCTGCACCCTAACTCTCTTGGCCTAAGTTGTTTGACTGGTAGTCACGCAGCCCACCTGGGAAGGTCAGGGCCCAGAACCACTGTGGAGTCTGACGGCTGTGACACTTGGTGTCCACACCCATGCCCGGCTCTCACACCTGCTGCCTCTGGCTCTGCCTCTCCTGTCAGCCCCATCTGGCTCCTGGGCATCTGGGTTTGTGGCTGCCAGGCCTCTGACTGTTGATGGCAGCCTGAGGGTTCCAGAACTGGAGTTCTCTGGGCCTCCTGCCGGGGCTCAGGTCAGTCAGCCAAAAGTGTTTGCAGGGCCTTTGATGGCTCTGTCAGAGCTGGCTGCCTGCCACCTGTCTGTCCATCTCAGCCTGTCCATGTTGGCTCCTCCAGGCAGGACGCAGTCATGAGGGCTGTAATGGTGAGGAGCAGACGAATCTTGTGCCAAGTCTCCTTGTGCTCAGCACACGACCCACTTTCCTGTCCTTCCCTCTGCATATCTTGGGCTTTCCCTCCCCTCCTTGGGCCTCTGCTTTCCATCCAGGCTTCAGGGATGGTGTTAGAAAAACGAGGCGCCTCCCAGCCTGGTCCCATGGCCCTGTCAGAGGCACCTGCTCCCCACACAGGTGGTGCCCTGGGTGTGATTGTCTCAGACCTGTCCAGCCCCAGCTGGGGGAAGGAGGCGAGGAGGACTTAGTCCCTACGGGTCCCTGAATCCTCCCACCTTGGGGCAGTGCAGAGAGGCCACTCCAGCCTGAGCACGCAGGTGCAGGCAGGCCGAGCAGGCTAAAGTCTAGGCTGGATCACAGTGGCACCAGCTTGACTCTGTCCTGAACCAGACTAAATATGCCTGTGGCTCAGGGGCCCGAGGACAGGGTGGTGATAAGCTGAGCTTGCTGGATTTGGGGGATTCGTGGCTGAGTGAAAACTTGGGACCTGGCCCAGACCCTGATCTGCTCTTGCCAGCCCTGTGACCTTGAAGGGTAACACTTTCTCTCCTTGGTTTCAGGGTCACTTTTCTTGGTTCTCTAATAGGGAATACTGTCATTTCACAGTCATGCATTCAACAAACAATTATCAGCCTAGTTCTAGATGCCAGGATGGAACAGAAAACAATGTCTGTGTCCTTAGACCTAAACCATGAAGTCCACTGTCAGGTGAGCTATGCTGACCTTTATGCCCCCATCTGGATGACAGGGCTGGGTTGGGAGTTCTGACCACGGTGTCACACAGACATTATGCATCCTGACTCTACCATCTACTCAGCATAATCTGGACTTTCCCATCCATCTCTTTGAGCCTCAGTTTATTGCTCTGTAAAATGGAGTTACTCATTTTTGAGACTGAGAGGACTTGTGTGAGATGCTGCCCAGTGATGGGCACATATCCAGAACCCGATATCTGTTCCTTCATGTGCATCTCAAAATTACTGTCATGTCTTTGCTTTCAAAAGGCAGAGAATACTGGCAAAATTACTGTCATGTCTTTGCTTTCAAAAGGCAGAGAGTGAGCCACAAAGAAGGTGCACAGTTTCCTAAGGCCACACAGCAGGTCTCCTGCCTCCCGGCTTCCACATCCTGAGTTTGGTCTACAGGGCAGCTGCCTCTCCAGCCGCCCAGGACTGGCCCCATGTTAAATGCAGCGAATGCTGCTGAAATGGACCATATTGAAAGTTGTCTTCGTTACTTTTGTCATTGATGAGACAAAATACCTGACACTCACAAGTTACAGGACGAAAGGCCTGCCTAGCTCACAGCTTATAGAGGGTTCAGTCCATGCTCAGCTGGTCCTCAGGCATGGCAGAGGGGCATCACAGAGGAGAAATCGTCCATTGTAGGACAGGCAGGCAGCAGCATAAAGTGACAGCAGCACCCTCTTTCTGCCCTTGTAGTCTAGCCAGACACACTGCCCTGAGGGCAGGTGCACTCACACCCAGAGTGGGGATTCCTTAATCCCAGGTGAGACCATTCATCCCAGGATCACCTCCTTAATGGCAGCATTACACACTCTAGGTGCAGCCACTTCTGAAACCCCCACCTTTGACCATGAGTCCTGGGGGGGGAATATCGAGATACAAAGTGTAACATTCCACCCCTGGCCTCCAAAAGACTCACGTGCATCCCTTTATACAAAAGCCATCTCTGAGAGTTGCCAAAGTCCTAACAGTTTCAGCATTACTGAAAAGCCCGAGTCCCAAGTCTCCTCTGAGATTTAAGGCAAACTCTTAGCTGTGAGTCCCTAACAAATGAAAAGAAAGTTAAACACTTCCAATGTATAGAGGAACAAGATAGACATAACTATTATAAAAGGTACAAATAAGGAGATATAAAGGAACAAGACCAAAGCAAGTTCCAAATCTGGCAGGACAAACATTAAATCTCACGTCCGGCGTCTGGTGCCAGCTATGGCAAGATGTGAACTCCAAAGGGCTTGGGTGGCTCTGCCCCTTATAGCACTGCTGATGGCTGAGCTCCCATGGCTTCTCTCTTTGGCTGGCTTTGGTCACTCCTTGCAGCTTTCCTCAGGTGGTCCATGTTCCTGGCTTCTGCAAACTTCTGAGGTCTCCACTGCACCTTAGGCTTCACACAGCTTCATAAACTACCCTCAGGGGCACATTGTCTGGCCTCCCAGACCTTCTGAAAATGGTGGAAACCTTCCTGACCACAACGCTGGCATTCTGTATGCACCTAAAACCAGCATCATGTGATGATGCCAATGTCTGCTACCAGCTGGAGCACTAATCAGGTTTTCATCTCTCTTAGCCATAGGGGTAGAGTGTGTGGATTGCAGAACACTAAGAACTCTATCCTAAAGAAAAACTTCCCTGAGCCCCCCTCCATTCTGGAACGTGGTGCACTGGGGCTTTCTCTTCAGAGCAGAGTCTTTTACCTTTGCAATTTTGAGGCTGCAA